AGGAGCCAAGGAACCTGGTCAGAACCTGAGAACAGGCAGAGAATCCCATAAATTGAAGGTCTTTGACTGTAACCAACCCCAATTCTGCAGAATGGAAGGAACAATCTATCTGCCCAAAACAGATTACCGATAAAGAGCCATGAAATACAGCCCTACTTCATGGTGTTAGGATTTACTGCACTTGGAATGAACCATCTCTCAGCTCGGGGCTGCTTGATTTATGAAGCTGTTTGCATAAGCAGCCAAGTGGTCTCCAGGTTTTGGACAAACAAATTGCCACGAAATCACTGAAGTCCTTGACACAGCCCAGCTGAGGATGTGGGCAGCAGCAGGAGCTTCGGGGGAGATTTGAAACTCCACATTCCATCATTTTTTACTAAATTTTCACTGTAGCCCCCAATGTTTAGGATCCAGCTGTATCCTGGGGAGGCCCTGGAACACTTTCTAGGGACTGGCAACAGGCTCCAGATCCTTTCATTACCATCTAGTCAAATTCTACCCCACACACTACAGCTGTTGAGCAGGGCTTGGCCAAGCTGGCGTTTGAAATGCCTCAAACCAGCTGGTACCTTTGATCCAAGTGCTCACGTCCCCATCGCATGAAGCAACTTCCCTTGAGGAATTCTCCGGGAAGCAGGAAGAACCGAACGGTTTCGGAAACTGCCTGGGGAGCAGTTCCTAGAAAGGAACAGAAGCAACGTCTGCCTTGGCCTGTGCCCATCCCGCAGCCCAGAGAGCTGGAAATCACTGTTTGTAAATCACGCACCTCCCTTTACTTTTACAGAGTTGGAAAGCAGAAAATCTGTGTGAACAAGCAAGTCACTTAAGAAAGAGGTCATGGAACTGCGAGATGACGCAGAAGCCTTTGATACTCTGCCTATAAAAAATAAAAATAATAACTAAATCCCTGACTTCTTAACCTTGGCTAGGACGCAGAAGGATGCTCTAACACGTACCCTCATCCCACTGCTTACGGGGCCAAAATCAGTGTCCTCAGCCTCCCGACCGGCTTCTCCGCGGAAACACCAGCAACTCAAGCCACGTCTCTGCACACATGCAAGTTGCAGTGTTTTCAATGGGATTTAAACCTTTCTGCCTTTTTTTTTTTTTTAATAGAGACCTAATTAAATGTGGTCTCTGAGCACAAGCACTTTCATGACAGGGGCTCTCTGCCGGTCCGTCGCTCTCTCCTCTCTCCTGCCCGTCCTGCGTTTCCTCCTGGGAAGCCGAGAATTCCTTCATTGAGGGCTGTTTTCCATGGCACTGATCCCACGAGCTGTTTCACCGTGAGGCTAAATTGCCTCCTCAGATAGGGAAGCTTCCCAACACAGCACCATGGATCGAGGGCAGCCTCCTCCTGACACGACACCTACATAACTCCCTCTCTCCACCTCTATTTTTCCAATGTTTTGGCAGAGGTCCCGGTCCCCGGAGTGAGGGCATCTGCCTGTCAAGGAAATTGCATATGCTGAGGTCACTCTTTTCCATGCCTTCCCTGCAAACCTCACCTGGAAGTTTAACTACCTTGAGGAGTCCTTCCTTTACACCCTGCGTTGACACTGGGACCAGCCGCGGAAACTGCTGGCCCAGAGCCATGATCTGCTGTGCTGCTTTTGAAGATAACACGTTTCTTCCGCTGCTTCCCCGGCCGCCAACTGCTTTTCAGCTTGAGAAACAGGAGACCCCGGGCGCTCTCGAGGCTGCAGTGACACCACATCCTGCCCCGTTCCCTACCTGGTCGGAATACGTAAAGATCCCCAAGTGCTTCACAAGTGACCACCTAACGACACAAAAACGCTCCGAGATCTCCCCGTCCCCACTTCCAGACAAGGAAACTCAGGAGCTGCCAGGCGAAAAACTGCACAGGAGAATAAAGCAAATCATGGGCAAAACAAAAAACAAGACCCAAATGTACTCGTTTACGGCTCCAGCCCTTAACCACAGGGTTGTGCTTCCTATTTTGCCACATGTAACACTGCTGGTTTTGCTCCCATTCTGCTCCAGAGCATTCAGAGCTACAAAGCAGCCGGCGGGAGGCACTGTGCTCAATCACAAAGCTGCTGTGTTATTTTAAGAGGGGGGATACTTCAGCCCAGCTGTAAATTCCATTAAAGCACATTCACAGCTGCGAATCTTATTAAAGCACAGAGACAAAAAAAAAAAAAAAAAAAAGTCCAAGCACTTTAAAAAATTTTTTAAAAAGCGCCGGGAGAAGGCTCACATCAAACGGCTTTAAAAAGCCTGTTCCTGTCACGATGCAGCACACCTCGGTGCGGAGAGCAGCGAAAAGCTGCAACCCACAAGCCTCATTCGGGCAGGGAACACGGTGTGACACGGAGCTGGAACGTCTCTACGCCAAAAGCACCAAGAAATGCTGCTTAAAAAAGCACTTGTAAGAACGCACACACACACAAAGACATAAAAAGGCAGAATTGAGTTAAAAATATCTCTGCAGGAAAAAATGCAAAGTCTTAATACTAAAGGGGTAATTCTGTCGCTGTTTTGTGCGTTTCCTCCCAGCCCTTTGCTCGCAGGTATCGGTTCTTGCTCACTCTGGCAAAGGCCGCACGGGAGCAGCGGATGCAGGAACCGTCACGTAGGGGCAATCGGGAGCCTGGGAACTGGGAACGTGCAGCCGGAGCGGCCGCCCGAGGGCAGCAGGCGATCGCTGCAGAGCCATTTCCTCCCCACCACGGCGATCATCCCGGTTAGGCCACGGGATTCCCGTTGGGAAGCCTTTTCCTGCTGCAAACGCAGCGCGGTGCTTTAGGCATCGCTGCCATCTGCCCTTCCATTAGAGAGATGCTCAAAACACATGTGAGAAGCTGCTCCGAGCAGCCCTGCAAATGGAAACGCAGGTTGCAGAAATCCCGTCGGTTTAGCACCGTTTCCGCCGCCCCGGCAGCCCGGGCCGCGTTCACTCCTGCTCCGTTTTGGCTGCTCTCTGTAGGCAGAAATCCCAATACGGCTTCAAAATGGATCTGAACAGAACAGGGTGTTGAAACGGGAACGTTTTGAGAGCGACGGAGCCCGCGCGGGGGCTGCTCCCCAAGAGCCTTTCCGTTTTCCTGCGGGCTTTGCCGTCTGCCCAACTGCGGTGCCCGGCAAAGCCGCAGCCAGAAACCCCTGCGGCAGAGCCGGGGGGGGGCCGGGCCCTTCGAAGGGGGGCTCGG